ATGTTTCTTCCTGTTTTGATATTTTTTCAGTTCCTTTTATGCGACGATCATTTTATCTTTCTGTTCTCAAATTGAATCTGTTCATTTTTGCATTATTTCGTATTTTTTTGTGTTGTTTTGATATTTCATAAATTCCTATTTTGTGGGGAATACTCTTTTTCTTCATTTGGTTTCATTCATTCTTTTCTCTCTGTTTTCTTGTTGTAGCAGCGCACCAAACATTGTATTATTATTTTTCAATAAGACACAGTCCTCTTTCTAATGGAAATCTAATGGATTCATATATAAATCTAGATGTAAATCTAGAACCACTGACTCAGTAAATGTTCGATATAAATCAGTTATATATACAGGTTGTGATCTACAGCCTATAGAACTATACACATGACGACGAAAATCAATTTAGTGGAAAATCCATTTATTATACTGGACTTCTGGGAATACGCTCCGAGAGAAACAACGATGGAAGGGAGATAACTCCTTGTTATTATATACATCAAGTACAACATGATGGATAGGAAAGAGAAGTAGGGATACAAACAGCCGGTAATGATGACATCAACAATTTTATCAAATTGAAAAAAAATAAGGAAGAAAGAAAATAATGAATAAATAAATACTTGGATTCTTTTGAAATTTAACATAACTGGTTTGTTTGGTGATATGTGTAAAGAATACAGGTTTCGGTGGCTTTATTGAAAGAATGTGGACGAATAAGGTCTAATTCTTTATGCACACTTATAACTTTAAAACACGATCTACGTTATTTTCTTTGCAGCTTATGACATTCGTTGTGGCATGTCTCTGAGTTACTGCTACATTTGACAGGAGGTATCTTTAGATACAATACTGCTACATTTGACAGGAGGTATATTAAGATACAATACTGCTACATTTGACAGGAGGTATCTTTAGATACAATACAGCTATATTTGACAGGAGGTATATTAAGATACAATACTGCTACATTTGACCGGAGGTATCTTTAGATACAATACTACTACATTAGACAGGAGGTATATTTAGATACAATACTGCTACATTGACAGGAGGTATCTTTAGATACAATACTGCTACATTAGACAGGAGGTATCTTTAGATAGAATACTGCTACATTTGACCGGAGGTATCTTTAGATACAATACTGCTACATTTGACAGGAGGTATATTAAGATACAATACTGCTACATTAGACAGGAGGTATATTTAGATACAATACAGCTACATTAGACAGGAGGTATCTTTAGATACAATACTGCTACATTAGACAGGAGGTATATTTAGATACAATACTGCTACATTAGACAGGAGGTATCTTTAGAGACAATACAGCTACATTTGACAGGAGTTATCTTTAGATACAATACAGATACATTTGACAGGAGGTATCTTTAGATACAATACTACTACATTAGACAGGAGGTATATTTAGATACAATACTGCTACATTGACAGGAGGTATCTTTAGATACAGTACTGCTACATTAGACAGGAGGTATCTTTAGATACAATACAGCTACATTTGACAGGAGGTATCTTTAGATACAATACAGATACATTTGACAGTGGGTATTTTGTTTCTTGTACAACATAAACAAATATGAGTCATCCAACGTAGGCCCATGCAAGTAACACTGGGGACGATGACGAACAGCTTTCAAATATCTTCTACCATTGATAAGGTTTTAAAGACCGACCCCCCCCCCCCCCCCATTATAACCAGCACATAAAAACGGTTTACATTTATCCGCGAACTAACACTATTTATTAACATATTTAATTTCTTAATACTAATACCTAGTAATTTGTCCGACTCTTTTACCAGCCATGACATGAAGTCCCCGAAATCCGGGAACCTTCTTTAATGTTATAATACAGACCACGTCTCACATTCAGTGGCAGGACCGTGTTAGTGTCAATTTAAGGATTTTAATTATGATAGCTTTTGAATCTCATCGTCAGGGACTAGATTGTTATGTTAACATTCGATGCTTCAACCTTAAAGTCAGTAGATTACATTTATAAACAATTCTTCTTTAACAAGTCGATATCATACCAATCGCGAGAATACACAGAAAACTTAACATAAACACTTGGTTTGTTATCCTTTAATATTTGGTAAACTTGATATCACTCTGGAAATGAAACGGATGCTTCTGAACAAGATTTAGGATGTCGTAGGGAGAACAAAGAGAAGGCAATGATATTCGTTATGATCAAAGAGATGATTGTGGCAGACGAAGTAAGCACGAAATATTTAAACCAAGGTCACGTGACATAATTTGTTTACACAACATCTTGGTACACTTATAACATTCCGTTGAAAGTGTCCACAAGGATATCACTGGAGTGTTGAGTGTCAGATGATAGAATTACTCTATGTAGTCAGATTCTCGTCACGTGACGCCTGTGGGTTTTTATATGTATGTGTATATAGCTAAGTAGTAACCATATTTTTACAGGACACGAAGGTCGACGAGAGATAGGGTAAAGTACAACACAGGTTAGAAAGTGCTATGATCTGTATATGTGTAAGTATGTAGACATATGGTGTGTGATTACCTATATACATTGTTATATGATGTCGGAGACAATGAACTACAAGTGGGTGTGTCGCATCATGGTTTACATTACATGCAATGTTCCCAAACTGAAAATGCTGAGACAATGATATTTTTTTTATTCCACCGAGTAGATCTGAAGGACGCGTTACTCACTACAGTTAATACTGAACAGTCTCATAATACTTGTATGGTACATACCAACTAACAGGTGTAAAGGAAGACAACACTCTCTAACGTCAACCTAACGTAAGGTGTGAATGAGAGCCGACAACACTCTCTAACGTAAACCTAACGTAACAAGATGGTTCCCACATCAAAAACAAAACATTTTTCTAGTTATATAACGACATATCAGGCTCTGGAAATTCCGTCATCTTCATCTACAAGCTCTTACTGTACAACCTATGACGATTTTATTTTCATTTCATGAATTGTAACGACATAATTCTATGTCTTCTTAATGGATTTGTTAGTTAGTTACGTCTCATCAAAAGCAAGTTTACCCTATATAGACCAATGAACACGTTCAATAATGATAAAGAAATCATCCGATATGGAATCGTACAAGACGTAACGATACTGCCATAAAGAAAGTGAAAGTTAATAATCGTGAACTACAAATAACACTCTTACCATATAACTAAGTAATAAGGTGTCCGTTTTCGTCATGATCAAATTTTGACGATTTTGCAAATAAATTCCTTGTTACTCAAAGACATTTGTTTGTCCTAATGAAGGCGGAGATCTTCCGCAGCGATAATATAATGCGCAGGGACACCATGAAATGCAGCATGTATTCGAAAAAGTCCATACAAAATGTTAGCGTAAGGTACACTTTGTTCCCCATTGGTATGATATTATATAGTATGTTTCATTTCTTCTCTTTTTCATGTTTTATGAAATGCTACCAATGTTGTAACAGCCCGGAAGAGTAAGCGTCTTCTGTTTCATTGACGACATTAGCCATGTTTATCTTGTTCAATCCAAGCAAATGTCACGTACCCTAAACAGAAGACGGTAAACAACAGTCGCCAATAAATAAAATCATTAACAAGTCATCTGACAAAGATGAAAAACTGCAAACATTTTAAAGTGTCGTCAATAGAGCAAAAGGTGTTTTCCCTTCCGGAACATTTGGTCTTATTCTCCTTGTATCTTCTCAATGATCTCAGTGCAAATCTTTCTTTTGTTCATGTTTTGCCCTGGTCCCACTGGTTTTGAGATAGGATTTATATTTCATTACCTTTTCTGTGTTTTTTTTTTATTTAAATGCAATTATTTTATCAACCAATTTCATCGCGATAAAGGGCCCACCATCTGGTACGTTTTGAATGAGAAATATACCTGCATCTGACCCGTGAGCGCTACGATGAGATGAATCATGACTGATAATTGGAGCCGTTTTGGAAGATGATTATTTCGGAGTCACAAAGTTTCATCTTGAACGAAATGAACTATGCTCATTCATCACTGTGTTAAAAGAAGATAATTAAAGTTCTGGTTTGTAACAACTATAACGTTGACAGAGAAATTGTATGATTATTTCTAACAAAACGATTTTAGACTTCTTCGTGGGAATGCAGTGAAATTCTGTAAACAAAACAATATTGTTTGATGAATCGTTTGTTGAAATAGTAAACAACGTGTTAACGCCTTTGTGTTGCAGTAGACAACTACTATAAAGTAGACAGGTGTTTATGTTTTTTAAACAAAACGATTTCAGCAAGATTTCCCTGACTTTAGATTGAAGTGTACATTATATAACATGTGCTTAACACACGAAAACAAATATAATGCCGTTTAGAAACACTGTAGTTTAAAAAGAAATAATAGAGTTAGACACATATAAACTGACTCCTTACTCACTCATTCGATGATGTGTTTGATGTTTAGTTTTATTTACATTACGTGACCAGAGGAGAGACAACGAAGGTAGATCTCTTCCTTTTATGAAGTATATGTGATTCTAATCGGTATTGGATGGTCACTAATTAATATATACCTTATATGCTGTTGAGAGTCGTGCGCTCGTGCATATAAACGTACAGTATCCTCTCCTAATTTCCCCCGTTTTTCTCTGGTAGATAATTTGTTTCTGTTGTAGATTTGTTATATAGATAAAGAAGATAGAGTTAAGTACACATCGTTTTATTATCGTTTATTGATAGGACTTATACAGGTATAACAGGTTATAACTTGTCGTGAAAGTGGGCAGAATGGTGATTTATACAGTATGTAAAGATATATGCCAAAAGTATTTCAAAATATTTACATTTCTTTGAAAAGAACATTTTTATAAACAATTACAATGTATTTCTTAATTTATTAATGTTTTGTTGTCTGACCGACAAATTACGTTTTTAATGGTATGCTTATCTTATCCAGATCAGATGTGCTCCGTATACAATTGTCCGACCCAGCCACACCACGTGAACACAACATGCAATCCCTGCAGTCAATATATTTAAAAGATAAAAATACTGGGAATTCCGTTTTCGTTTTGAAAATTCTTTTTCTTGGTTACAGAGGAATTATCACCACTTACAGAACCGACAGCTATATAGTACAGGTAGGTAATACTTTTATTTAATCATAATTTTGAACGAAGAAGCTCATAAAAATATATAAATGAAATTATATAAATGTTATAAATGTTACCGTAGAATGCTCACAATTTTACCCATACCATATTTAGCACACGTGCATATACTTTATTACCTAGAATTTAGATAACTCTAAACAAGGTTTGAAGCATATGAAATAGTTTTTCCCGACATTATACATGACGGTCATGCACATATAAGTTTGAAAGGAAACAAGACTGGTTTGGAGATGTCTTAAAATGTAGTCAATGAAATAATGATTTTTATCTACTCTGACAATTGATCATCATGAAACAGCGGCTCCAGGTTTTAAATGTATTTAATAACAAAGTTTTAAAAATAGTAATGATGTGGTTGGAAATTAGCGGAACAGAAATTTACATAGGTTATATATAGAACCTTGCCAATAGTGCACCATAGCTTTTTACAACAGACCATACGTGAAATCGAAACACAATAGAGATTTTTGTATACACGTTTATTCCGGTATTTCCAAGATTTGCGCAATCCTTTGTCGCAGTCCCTAATACACGTGTAATTTACAGTGAATTTGTTGTCACTTTTTCACTTGAACTGATTTTCTTTTAAAACCTTTAAATTTATCAGTACTTATTGTTCGTAATTCACGATCATATCATTTCTAACTAAACTTTTAATTTTCAATATAATTACACAAATGAAAGTGGAAGTTAACGTAGTAGAATAACACGTGTTACATTAAACATAAACAGAGACACCTACGTAATAACAGATATTAAAATGTATTCAGTTGTGTGTTATATCAGGTGTTAGTGTCGATGTTTAGTGATATAAAGAGAAAAGTGGTTGTAGTTTAGGGTAGCATTAATGGTATCACTGTTTTGAATATAGATCACGATTACAGATATCTGTATTATCATCTATAATCAGTAATGTTGTTAATTGAGTAACTTATTAATGGCTTACGTTAGAGTTTATCAATGTAAATAAAACTTATGGCCTATTTATTTAAAGTAACATGATCTTTAGACCACACAGGAGTTGGAGTGTTCAAACTAAGCTGAAATAGTCCTTCTGGTAACACCCTGATGGATTTATAACGTGGTAGATAACAAAGGTAGTTTGATATTAATCTTCCTGTACGTATCATAACTTAATGATGCATTTACTTAAATGTTCTATAAATAGAAACATCATACAAAGGTAATTTATACAAACAGGGAGAAACATTTCATCAAAAACTTGTATTACTCATTGAATATAGATGTTCCCTCATGGAATATGATCTGCTGATCCTGCACTAATGGTGATGAAATCATACCACACAAATTAAGGGGAATGTGATTATGATGACTTCACAATTACCGAGACAAAGAGCCGGAATGACTCTTCATTGTTTTTGTCGCCATAAAATTCATCAAGTGGGCGAAATGATCGTGAATTTATTCAGATCTTATTTGAAGTTAATGACACTCGTCAGAAATATCTAATTTCAGTTCGTCAGAGGTTTACCAAGATGAAATATTCTTGGGTATCAAAAAGTTTATTTAGATGGAAGCTAATGACTGCCTCTAAGTAAATACCTCCGAGTTATACAAAGTTTACTACCAGCTGTTTAGAACTAAAACGATTAAGGTGACTTATGTAGACATGATGCTGCCTTTGTAGGTTCGATGGCTGAACGTCTGATAGGAAGATACAGAGAGTGGGCAGCGTTGTCAAGAAATTGGAACGCTTACAGGTTATTCCAAATTCATGGCATTCGGTCTGTGGGGAAGTCGAGATTCGTGGAAGAATTCCTGAAATTTAAAGAGGACAGCAAAGAAGCATGGGTACAGGCTGTATTGATAAAGGTGAGGAATGTTGCTGGCATGAGAGGAATTTGTCTGTCCTTGTTTGCGGCTCTAGATCTGTCAGCTCCCCAAGATGACACTACCTGGACGGAAGCAATATGCAACGCTGTGACAAGAAGAGAGTACATTGATGTCATACTTGTCTTTGATGGTGCTGAGAATGTGTTAGAGGGAAAAAGCACAAACGAGTTCAAAATGTTCTGTTCATACTTGCTTGGCAACTGCAGGAACATTAAAATCATTATCACATCAACAACAGAAGTGATTTTTGAAGGCATCGAGGAGCAGTGTATGGAGTTACTGATACCTCCCCTCTCACCAGCAGATTCAGAGGCATTGATGCGACGATATGCCCCATCCGTGGACTTCGGGTCACACCTGGAGACCATTGTCAAATTGTGCGAAGGGTTGCCTCTCGTCATTGCTATGGTTGCTTCAGAGTTGACTGATAACGATAGGGACGCTTCGTCACTGACAGTGGCAGAAATGTCTCTGGCCTTGCAAAGCTGTCGCCTTGAGGCACTCAGTCAGTTCATGTATGCACAAGAGGAAAGATTAGGTAAGTATAGAGTTCACAGAACCTCTGTGGACAGTAATTAGAGAATATTGTTAGCAACTCACTGTAATTATTTACGAAATGTATCTTAGACCTGGCTGTCAAATGGTTTCAGACTGTGTTTGTTTACATCTATTTGTCAACGTCGTCAAGCATCTGGTAATTTATGTAAAATCCGTCCATACATTGACGTTATTATGACTTTCTAATGAACTAATTGAAGTATCACGTTTCAGCCTTTTCTCTTGAAATATCTCTATATTTATTTTCACTTCATAATGAGTTGTTAAAATTGTCATTTCGATCGTAAAAAACACAATAAAAGTCTAAAACAATCCTGTATTGACACTCTATGTTCTTTGCTTCAGATGCTATTTACGGCACATTCCTGAAACGTCTACCAGAGTCTATGCAGAACAAACTGGCCACGATAGGATACATGCCTGGAACATTCACTCTAAGTCACGTGAGAGAGATGGTCGGTAGGTGTATTGTTGACAAACGACATTACAAATGTTGTTGACAATGAATAACAATCGCTGAAGACCATCCTGACACATTTTCAAGTGGATATGCTGTCAGTCAGTTTTGCCTACTATAAGTTTTGTTTCCTTTCAACATGACCGATTTTTTTTTCGTAGTGTTATTTTTCTGATATGTCGAAGAAGATCGTTAGGCAAATAACTACTCTTATGATTAAGACAAAGAGCCATTAGTTGACAAATTATTCATTCTTTCAAACTTAACACATAACTACCCTTATCATTTGCGAAATAGGGAATCTTAAAAAAACGCTTTTCCTTTTTAACCTTTGCCTAGATGACGTAGAAGCGATGGATACCACCATCACACCTTTAATGCGACGCCATTTTCTGAAACAGGACGACATCACACAACGATACGACATACAAGGGATTCTCAGAAACTGCATTGACGACCTGTTTGAGACAGTCAAGGAGAGTCCAGGTATTAATAACATCATGTTGTGGTTCTAAGTTGTTTTAACTAGTAGGGAAATATTGATGAAACATCGCATATCTATATTTGGGACATTTTTGTATATTACTCTTAAATGGAAAGAACCGGAGAACATTTAATTACGAAATATATGGCATGTTTTGTATGATAGCCGTATATTTAATGGTTATTTGTATCTTTTTAATGTTTCAATTGTGACCAGGTTGCTATTGATTTTGTACCATTTCATTATTTCTCTGTTTTTTCTATTTTAGAGGTTAAACAGAGGTTCTGCTCTCTTTTTTCGCGATTAATCACAAAAATCGGAAGTATGCTGAATACAGCTGATTATGCAGAAGCTCTTTGTCAGTACAATCACGAGCAACAAAACTTCAGGAAACTGCTTACGAATGTGGAGTTGGTCTTCTCTAACGAAGACATGTACTGCTTGTACATGGAGGTGGCCATTCGTGCTTCTAATGTCATTCAGCAGTTCATGGGTGGTAAAGAATTTGATCTATATTCACTCATTGCGACAACAAAATAAATACGAATCTCCAGGAGGAACAGTTTACGATCAAACTAGCTATATTGCCGGTACAATGTTTTTAGAGTAAATGCCCTAATATAACATACAGTATGTTGCTACGTTTTCATGGTAACGACCCCAGCTTTATGAAAACCGAAACCTTTGTAATAACGTTAAAAAACAAGAAAATACCAACATATAGACATGATTATAATCCAAACTCAAATTTAATAAAACTAGGACAAAATATGAACACTGATTGTGAAAATTAAAGGGTATATAATTAGAACGTATTATCTTGCTTTGGTTGTAAAACTAAAGTATGTATGTCCTGTATCAATAGCTGATGGGTTCCAGTTCTACGAAGAATTAACTGTTCTCTCCTCGAAACTGAACAGAAAGCTGGACGAGGCTTGTATTCATTTATGTTATGGTGGAGCGTTGACCAATGTCAAGGTCAGTCTGTGGTCCACATCTAGGTACACGTCATGGATTATCACCCCGTTTATAAAACTTTTCAGTATAATCTGAAACAACTATGATATTTCCACAATCCGTATAAGTATTTTTTGTTTAAGTAATATTCCTGTTCGCCATTCTGTTATTGAGAGAAGTGTTTACCTTTACTTCGTATTTATATAGCTTCAGGTTTTGTTATCTTCTTATATATGGAAGCTTACTAATTCAACATATTTCCACTAAAAGCTTATTAACATCTCGTCACACTACTTTCCACCTTAGTGTACATAAATCACTCTACAGCCGAAAAGTCTCGTTATTTTATTATCATCTCGTCAACTGTATATGTCAGTGCACTTGTCACGTGTTTGGTGAAGGTGATAATGTAGACATCGAAATGTCACACAATATTGTAAATTCTTGTGATACCAGACTGTCTTTCCAATATACGCAACCAACCTCAAATGTACTGAAATGAGCTTTATCTTGTAATCAATGAAAAGGCAATCCGATGCTTATTGAAAGGAATTCCTTTACATATAAGTGCATACATACCTTTATAATATTATATAGCAGACGTAAAGATAATTTGGGTATGTTCTTTAATTGAAAGATAGAAAGCGTTATATATATAATGTTATAGGGCAGTATGACGGAAGGGGAGAAGAAATATCGCCTTGCAATACAGTACCTGGAGAACTTCAAAGAGGACCCAACATTTTCATCCTCGGGCTGCTACCACGGCCTAAAGATGGATATTCGGAACCATCTGGCACATGGGTATCAAAGACTGGGATGGAATTTGTTTATCCAAGGCCGGACAAAGCAATCGATTGTGTAAGCATATTTTACTTTTTATTATACTTAAATGGTCTTATCAGAACAAATTTTTAGGTGACATTATGTTTAATGTGTTATATTTGTACTGTTCAAGTTATCTGGAAAAGGCATTTGAGCTGGAGAACGAGTTGAAGATGTACAAGGAGGAGTTAATCCTCTCTACATTGATGTCACTGGGCACCACTCACAACATGTGCGGTAAGCAATCTTTATCATGTATGTAGAACGCTAACTTATATGTATGATATTATACTAGATGTCGTTTTTCTCCGGAATAGTACTTTTTGTTTTATTTCTTTGAAATGTTTAAATACGACAAATATAAGTTATAAAATTGTACATCGGAATATTAACTGAAAAGATAGTGCATGTTTACTACGGCCCTGTTCCAAATCTACAACAGAAATGGGATGACTGTGAAAACTTTCCATGTCTTACACTGTGCCGTTCAAAATTCACATCAAATTGTAGGAATATTAGAACACTTTCAGATGAGAATCTGTATAGGTAACAAACCTCTGAATAATTTTATTACCGTTAACGATATACTGAATATATTCATGTTCATCGGATGTATTGTGTTCATATACCCATTGCTGGCCCGAAACATTGATTTTTTAGCTTCGAAGATATTGAATGCCGTAGAGGAGTTTATATATTAAATGGTTGATGTTGTTGTCGTCCCCTAATATTGTAAATCACACTTACGAAAAATGTGCTATTTTATCCTTCATAGAGAACATGGGTGTCGCTCTCCGGTTTCATGAAGAAGCTCTTCGTCGGAGAAAGGAACTTTACAAAACTCCAGACGACCCAGATGGAGAGAATCATCCTTCTGTCGGTTCCTGCTACAACAACATTGGGCTCACTTATCGCAAGATGGAACGAAAGGAAGAAACACTCCACTATTTCCAAAAGTCTATGGAAATTAAAAAAAAATATAAAGCCCCTCCAAAATCTACCGCGATATCAATCATCAATGTTGCAAGTGCTCTTTCCGAAACAGGAAAACATGATGAAGGCATGCTTATGCTACAAGATGCAGATGATATTTTAAACAAGACTCCAAATATCTACCAGGACATCATAGCGTTAGTTTATGCAACGGAAGGCCAGATTCTTCTCCGCCAAGGTTGCTTCGCTGAAAGCATTAAACGTTTCAAAAAGTCGTTATCTATTCGCAAGCATAGTGGCCCTAACAACTTCTGGTCAGGGGAGACGTATAATGATCTGGCGAAGGCATACATTGGTATGAAAGACAGCAAACGGGCTTTGCACTGGCTGAATAAGGTGTTCAGTCTTCAAGAAGCGTTGAAGTCGGACGCCCCTACCAATTCTTTCGTTTTCGATTGCTACGTTCGAGCTATGGGCGTGCTTGCTAATATCGGTAATTACGAAGAGGTCCGTTCTGCATTTGAAGTTGCAATAAAAGAATTACAGCGCATGCGTGTAGAGTTTATTGCCTTAGGAAACTCTATCAAGATTGCATGGGTAGATTCTGAAATGAGTACGCTTCCAAATCTTTACACTCATCTTATACCTGGATCTGAACAAGAACCACGCGCATAGATTATACCACGCGTGGTACACTGGACACTTACACATGTGGTACACTGTACACTAACACGCGCGGTACGCAGGAAGTTAACACGCGTGGTACACAGGACGCGTGATGCACGGTACACTAACACGTGTGGTACACAGGACATAACACGCGTGGTACACAGGACATATCACGCGTGGTATATAGGAAGCTAACACGCGTTGTACACGGGACACTAACTCGCGTTGTACACAGGACATAACACGCGTGGTATATAGGAAGCTAACACGCGTGGTACACAGGACACTAACACGCGTGGTACACTGAACATTAAAACGCTTGGTAAACTGGACACAAACACGCTTGGTGCACAGGACACTCACACGTGTGGTAAACAGGACGCTTACACGCGTGGTGCACGGGACACTAACACGCTTGGTGCACGGCACACTAACACGTGGTACATTGAACATTAAAACGCTTGGTACACTGAACACAAACACGCTTGGTGAACAGGACGCTAACACGCGTGGTACACTGAACATTAAAACGCTTGGTAAACTGGACACAAACACGCTTGGTGCACAGGACGCTAACACGCGTGGTGCACGGGACACTAACATGTTTGGTGCACGGGACACTAACACGTGTGGTACACGGACACTAACACGCGTGGTACACGGACACTAACATGAGTGGTACACATGAAGTTAACACGCGTGGTACACAGAACATTAAAACGCTTGATAAACTGGATACAAACACGCGTAGTGAACAGAACACTAACACGTGTGGTACACAAGAAGCTTACACGCTTGCTGCACGGGACACTAACACGCGTGGTACACGGGACACTAACACGCTTGCTGCACGGGACACTAACACGCGTGGTACACATGAAGCTTACACGTGTGGTACAATGGACACTAACACGCGTGGTACACAAATGACATGATTAACAGGACAAAGAGTTTCACGAAGAAGAATGTGAAAGATAATCCCCGGAAGGAAGAATCTTTCAGGTCGGTTATCATACTTACAATGTAATTCAAAAGTGATGCTCAATATTTCTAATGCCATGCTTTTTTTCTTCAGAAATGCAAAGCAAAGTGGCACAGAGTATCTGTCCTATTACACAATTGCCTTAAGTATATATTGATGACATCGTTCCTTTATTCATACCGTGACTTTGTGATTCTATTGTGTTTTATCAATGTCTGAACATGTTTTATGACGTCTGTTAATATTCCAATTAATTTGTATATACATAAACTGCTTTTATACATGATGCTCACAATAATAAAAGATGGTGGTATATTTGCAACGGTAGTTTTTGTTTCATTGTCTCGTATATCAAAATTTTTGGGATGTTTCTTTTTTCACGGCCTCGTATACTGAACTTCACTAAACATTTTGTTTCTTTTTTCACGGCCTCGTATACTGAACTTCACTAAACGTTTTGTTTCTTTTTTCACGGCCTCGTATACTGAAATTCATTAAACATTTTTCAGTTTTTTATTTTACTGTCTCGTATATCGAAATTAACTAGATGTTTGGTAATTAATTTTTTCACAGCCTTTTATAACGAAATTTATTAAACATCAGGATTTTCCTATGTCAAAGGATCTCGTTTTCCAAAGTTCATGTGCTGGATAGTAAAATGCGTGTTAAAACGACAAAATAAACTATCTTATCTTCAGTAGATGAATAAAAACAATCTGAAAATGTTTGAAGCTTCAAGTAATATGAATGTCGGAATAACTTCACTAAACCCCCCCCCCCATTTTTCAGTTTTTTATTTTACTGTCTCGTATATCGAAAAAAAAAAAAAAAAGCCAGACGTCTGAATTTTTATGTACAGAACTGTCCCACATTTTCTCTTATCTAATCATATCGCTCATTTAAACCATTGGTGACGTGTGCTTAGAAGCTCAGCCCACTTTCAAGTTAAATTTTCAATAAGTTCGCAACAGGGTGTAGACAGGGTTACATGGAAAACTTCTCTATGCGTGTCTTTAAGTGATAAATTTAACCACTTCGTCTAGATTTTGACTTATCAATGATTTACCTCAGTCACCTCCTCGGCTTCAGAATTTAGACCCAAGCATCACTGACGAGTCTTAGAAGGACGAAAAAGCTGAAAATGGATGAAGTTAAGACCATTGTTTGGGTCTACTGTAACTAACCCTAAAATTTGTATCAAAATTATGCTATTCAGTTGTGTTTCTTTTGTAAAATATTAGAGATCGCAGATGATAGACATTGATGATGGACGATTAGTCCCCGATATTTGTCGTGACCTGCATGCCATGTTTTAATTCATACCAATAGTCGCAGGGTGCAAAATACACGCATGTACTTGATGTTGTTCTAAATTATCAGCTATCCAGAAACTATCTAAATTATGGAGCTAATACACGTCCCACATGTAGATTTTGACATTTCTTTGATCAGTTTGGGTTTTCCTCAGTCGCCTCCTACAACTGCGACTCATCATATATCGGAGAAACAGACAGGATATCCGGGGTTCTACTTAATTAACTTCAGCAAGACACATTCCACACAGAAAAATTATATAACTGACTGGGTGAATTCCAAAATAGTCAATAGAGTAAACCACCTTCTCAGGCAGCTGGTTAGGAGCGCCACTAATCTGGATACGCTGCAGTTGGGTGCAGTACTAAACCGGGACGAGGGGGCCACAGACTCTCGCACATCTATCACGAAGTGTTAAACAAAGCGTAGCCCAATTGACTTCACTACATTGTTACCATCTTGTATATTAATGGTCTATAACCTATTTACCGTCTCGTTAAACTAGCACACAGGATAATAGTACAGCCGAAAAAGTTTACCGGTTCCTTGCCGTCAGTGCTTGTGCGCTCCACACTGGTCATTTGGTCGTGTAGTCATCGAAATGTCACACTCTAATCTTCTACTGGTTATGTTATAAGATGAAGGTGACCATGTAGACATCGAAATGTCACACTCTAATCTTCTACTGGTTGTGTTACAAGATGAAGGTGACCGTGTAGACATCAAGACGTCACACTCTAATCTTCTACTGGTTGTTTTTAGAACTTCTATTCTAAGGACATCATCAACCTGAAGTAAATGGTCCGAAATATGATGTAAGGGAAGTAACTCTAGCTGAACATTGAGGATTATAGTCATTTCGATGACATGTTAAGCAATTTTCAATAACTTTCCCATGACATACCATATGCTAATTAATATGACAAGATTTGCAGTGGTTTAAACTACGGATTTTAGCACGAAATAAGTAATTGGCATTCTTAACATTTCAATATGACGTGTGTTATGGAGACAAGTGAGAGAGGACAGATCGAGGTCCGTTAAGAGAAAATATCGGAAAGTTCTAGAATTAGCAAATCTCATATTCACCTGAATTGATTTGAGACCTATGACACACCTCCGTCAGAAACATATGTTTATCAGGCTTTTCGTCATTACCTGAAATTCACCTCGAGACTAACTGGTTGGACGAAAGCTCGGAGCTGATTCAGAAAAATGTTTGTTGTGAACACGTTATATAAGCTTGACACCGCGGAAGATACAATTGAAGGTGGACATAGATCATAACTCCAAAACTTGTGCGGAGTTTGTATTTTCAGTTCAGAAAAAAAAATTAAAGCGATAATTACATCGACAACAAATGTTTGGTTAAAGATCGGTGTAGTTTCTTTGACATTGTCTCCTGTCTGTTGAAACTTCCACAGAATTGTTCCGGACCTGTGCTCCGTCTGTAAGCTTTGAACCTGATCTAGATGTCATTGTGAATCGGTGCGGAGGAATTCTCTAGCCTCACTGATGACAACAGCTTTACTAGAAGACAAGGATTCTCTCCTTTCAGCAGCTGAACTGGCCGACCTACTGCAGTTTTATCGCTTAAGGTCCTCAGCCAGTGTGTCTATTAGAGACCAGAAAAAAAGGTACTCGTTGCATTTGTCATATTGGCTGCAAAATTAACAAAATATCAACATGAGACCAGTAACAGAATAATTTGTTATGGCGTGCTATATATATCTCTAGGATAAAGCCACATTCAGTTTTAGGTTAGCCGGTATGTAAAAATTGTAAAATGTAAAAATACGTTGGATTATTATAACAGTGTCTGTTTTCTGTTGATGACTAATGTACTACTGTCCGGCTGGTGAACCTTACACACATAGTCTGTGGTATTTCTAGGATGCGTAAGTTTTGTTACAAAATCGATATTCCGAATTGATGCAGTACTACAATTATATATTTTGCACGGATACCATGTTTTACACACCAGATTGATATAGTAACATAGATTTTTACTTAGGTAGAAAATCATGGAGTCATTTATTCGTATTTTATTTGTCATCTACACAGGTAAATTAAAAAAACATTGAAGATATATGAAACTATTAAAGAAGTAGGAAGGCTATTTGCATAATACTTACGCAAGTTTACACTGCATTATGTAAAATCATTCAAAACAAAAATGTCATTTGGGCCGTTTCAAGACAGAGCCGTCGCTCATCGTACACAGTACTTTTTTTTTGATGTACACAACAGGGTAACAAATGATGACCTGTCGGGGATAATGACACCAAATGGCGATTAAACTGATAGTAGAATACTGATGTTAAAATGGGTGATATTCTAGGTAATTAAACGGTCGTGTCATTAGGTCGATGTAAAAAGCTTGTGGTCCTCACCAATGTGCCGTCACCTGAAACACTATAATTAGTAAAATATTTTACCAGCAATAAAAACTACACGAGGAATGTTATTTACTCACGTATTTAATGATATTATCAGCCATAATCTGAGTTTTACAGGACTTAATTCGAATGAAGAAACAAAAAGATTGACCCTTGACCTGGTGCTGTATCATCACGTGGTACACTATGACGAGTTATATTCATTTCCATTCCATATGAAATTTTAAAAAATGTTCATGAATTGACCCTTGACCTGGTGCTGTATCATCACGTTGTACACTATGACCAGTTATATTCGTTTCCATTCCATA